ACGGCGGCTCACGCCTGCTAATCAGCACTTCTCGGAGGCCCAGCGGTGGGTGGATCACTTGAGGTCAGGATTGCAAGACCAAACCCTGGCCCAAGATAGTAAACCCGGTCTCTACTGAAAAATACCAAAACATTAGCGGGGGGGTAGTGGCGGCGGCCTGTAATCCCAGATACTCAAAGCTGAGGCGAGAATTGCTTGAACGCCGGGAGCGGAGGGCTGCAATGAGCAGAGGATGGACCACTGACACCTCCAGCCTGTGGGGACGAGGCAAGGATTCTGCTCAAAAAAAAAAAAAAGTAGACCAGAAATGAAGAAAACGCAGGGAAGAAAGGATGCACCTTGGCACCCTCTCAAACACCCAACTCATGACCACACGACCGTATTACCCAACCGCTGCTAATTTTGAGTCTTCTTCGCATCTCCCAGCTGAGGTTATCTATTCTGGAACCGGCCCGGGGCCTCTGTAAAATGTACTTAAGTAAGCGACACAGCAAATTTGCATGTGTAAGCAGATCAGAGCATTATTATACAAATGCAGCCGGGCTGGCGGCTCACGCCGTAATCCCAGCCTTTGGAGCTGAGGGTGCAATCCACAGGGTCAGGAGCTCAAGACCAGCCGCCACATTCAAAAACCCCCACTCCTCTACTGAAAAATACCAAAAAAAAAAAAAATTAGCCCGGTATGTGATGCACAGGGCTGTAAACCCAAGCTAGGCTCGGGAAGCTGAGATAGCGAATCACTGAACCTGGAGGCGAGGTTCAGTGACCAAGACTCCACCACTGCACTCCAGGGCCCTGGGCAACGCGAGAGGAGACCCTGTCCAAAATAAAAGTGCAAATATATACATAATAATACAGATGGATCTCGATTATGTTCCCCAGATGGATCAAAACTCTGAGGATGCACAACCTCCCGCCCAAGACTCCTGAGGTAGCTGGAACTACAAAACACGATTCACTGGCCTTGGCTCAAATATCTTTTTTTTTGAGACAGGAGTCCGCTCTGCCACCCAGGGCAGGCGCGGACCTCACTGCCAAGCACACCGCCCAGCGTTCCCCCATCCTGTGCCGTCGAGGCCTCAAGTAGCTGGGACTACCAGGCGCCCCACGACGACCACCAGCTAATTTATTGTATCTTAGTAGAGATGGGGTTCACCATGTTAGCCATGATGGTCTTCGATCTCTGACCTGTGATCGCCTGCCGTGCCTCGCCCTCCCAATGAAGGGGCCGGGGATTTACAGCGGAGCCCCCACCGCCTTTTGTTTTTTTTTGGTCCCATGACCCACCCTGTAACCCAGGTTCATCTCTTACTCTTCAAGTCCTATCTCCCATGAAGAACATAGTGCACATGGCAGGTTGGGAGGCGAGAGCCCATATAAGTATCTGGACAAATTTCGTACCTGTTTAGAAGATTGGTCTGGGTCTGTTTCTCGTAGAAATAACTAGCATGTTTTTCCTGCCAAAAGAGAAACGCGAACTTTCCGATAAAAATAGGACCAACTTGCTTCTTCAAAAAACACATGAGTTGTACCATGTGAGAGGGCGTGCGAATGTGCGTGCTCCGACGAGATAGATCGAGAGGTTTTGTTCGATAGTGTTAGTGGTATGCGGCGGAGTGAGCGGAAAGATTTTTCTTGGTCGGCATAATGGCCGGTTGAGAGGGTGGGGTGAGTGCAGGGTGGGATGATTGTGTCTAGCTGCATTCCCTTGAGCCGGCGACAAGGGCAATGAGGAGTAACTCCATCTCGAGATATGATCAGTATAGAGATAATAGGTAGTAATGAGAATGAGGCCAAAAGAAAACGAGCTGAAATTAGAGCAGGGTTGGCTTGCCGAAGAGCGCATGGGCTACAACCCCTTGTAATCTGCAGCTCCTCTGGTTTGGTTTTCGAGATCTGATGGGCGAATGTTGTGGATTGGGTGCCCAGGGAATCAAACCCAGTTGTGTGGGTTTTGCCTTAGGAGGAGCTAGCTGAGGAGAACCCCCAGTCGCTGATCAAGGAAGAGAGAGAGATAGAAGAGAAGATTGAGGCGTGGTAGGGGTGATGAGATTGGGGAGATAGTGCACATGGGCGCGAGGTGTTGGAGGTGCGCGGTTGTGGTGTTGGTGGAGTGACCAGATCCGTACAGCTGCACTCCAGCCGGGCAACAGAGAAGATCCGGGTTGTCTCGGAGTAGGGGAAAAGATGAAAAAGATGGCTGAGGCAAGCACTAGACGAGTTACTCTGGTATCTCAGCACGGTAAACTACGCTTGAGGCAGGTAGAGGATTGTTAAGACAAGGCGTTTGATGGTTGTAGGGTGTACATGAATTGTGTTTGGTTGTGGGGGTGGCTGGAGGTGTGAAGAGCGGGCAATGTAGCAAGGAACCACATCTTAAATTTTTTTTTTTTTTTGGTCCTATTGACCCCACCCTTGTAACCCCATTTCATCTTTACTCTTGAAGTCCTATCTCCAAATACATAGTCACATGGCAGGTGGGGAGGCGGTTAGAGCCTCAGTATAAGTTTTCTGGACACAATTCAGTACCTGGTTTAGAAGATTGTCTGGTTTTTTTTTTTCTCTCTAGAATAACTAGCATGTTATTTCCTGACAAAGAGAAACTCGAATCTTTCCTGCATTTAAAAATAGAACAACTTGCTTCTTCAAAAACACAGAATTACCATATGACCTAGCAATTTTGCCCCCACAGAACAGAGTCAATAGGTATCCTTCCAGACCAAAGATTGTTTCTCCATAATGTTTCCGGAGGAGGTGGAGGTTGCAGTGAGATTGCGTCACTGCACTCCAGCCTGGCGACAAAGCAAAACTCCATCTCAAAAAAACATAAAATAATAAAAAATTATTCCAAAACAGTGTTTAAAAGCATGCTGCCAGACATGGTGGCTCACACCTGTAATCTCAGCCTCTTGGGAGACTGAGGCAAGAGGCCCAGGAATTCAAAACCAGCCTCATCAACATAGCAAGACCCCATCTCTACAAAAGAGAAAAAAAAATGAGCTTGGAAGGCTGAGATGGGATGATAGCACGAGCCCAGGAGTTGGAGGCTGCAGTGAACCATGATCGTACCACTGCACTCCAGCCTGGGCAACAGATTGAAATCCTGTCTCGAAGGAAAAAGAAAAAAATGCTGAGCCAAGCACAGGACAGGTACCTGTATCTCCAGCTACTCAACAGGCTGAGGCAGGAGGATTGCTTAAGACAAGGCGTTTGAGGTTTAAAAAATTTTTTTACCAGCATGGGGGCGGCTACATTATTTTTTTGGGGCGCTATCCCAGTTCACACAAACGCAGAGTAAACAAATAAAAAAGACACCATACATTAAAGAGAGGATACAACATGGAACAACCAAATACGAACCCACACATGACAAAAAACAGAAAAAATTCTCCAAATAGACAAACAGCAACTCAACACAAAAATACAATGAAGGAAAAAACAAGAAGAAATAACAAAACGTGCCACTACGCCTGCTGGCCTTCTATATTTAAACTAAGTAAGCAGACGGGTTCTGTCCCACGGGGCCAGCTGGTCTCAAACGTTGACATCAGGTGTTGTGGCTGCCGTGGGGGGTGCTTGCCGCCCTCCTCAATCGTGCTGGTGATTTACTATTGGCTTGGAGCTCCGACTGTGCACCGTGGCCTATTCTTACTTTATAATTAGATTTATATTTATTCTGTATGTTTAAACGGTAGTTCACTCTTTTTGCCAGTTGCCTGAGTCCAATTGGTTCTCGCCATCTTTCGGCTCACCTGTAACCTCCTGCTCTCCTGGTCCAAGCGATTCTCTTGCCTTTCAGCCCTCACCAATGTACCCTGGGATTACAGGTGCCTTGGTCTCACTTACACCTGATTTGGCTTCTATATTTTTTTTAGTAGATGAGGGAAGTTCTTCTCCACGTGGTTTGCTCAGGCGGTTCTCAAAACTGCCTACATCAGGTTGATCACCTGCTTCGGCCCTTCTTCTCCAATTAGTGCGGATTCAGCTCTTCGTAGCCATCCGCACTGGCCCAAGTACATGTTATTATTTACATTCTTGACTTCTTTGGCTTATTTGTTTCAATGTGTCTCATGTCAGTGGAGGCTGAAATGTTAAACAGTGGCCCCGGGGGTTGGGTGGGATGAAGTCTGCCTGTTTGGCCAGTGTTTGCTGATTCTTTTTTTTGTTTGTTTGAACAGAGTCCTTTTTGTGTCTGTGTTGCCGCAGGTGCTCCGAGTTGTAATTTTGGTGAGATCTCCAGATCATTTGCAGCCCTCTCTACTACCTCCCAAGGTGTCAAGTGATTCTTCTGTCTCACCCCTTCTCTGAGTAGCTTGAATTTACAGCCTCTGTGGCCTCCATGTCCTGGTCTAATATTTTGTTATTTTCAGTAAAGAGATGGGCGCGTTTCACCATGTTGGTTCAGGCTGGTTTGGCTGCCTCTCCGATCCTCAGGTGAGTCACGCCCGC